CCACCACCACCACCACCACGAATACTAATAAAAAAATAGTAAAAACAAAAACAAATAAATAAATATATTTATACTTGTTAGATATAGAAGAATATCTTTATCTAGATCTATAACATTAAAGACGAAGAGCCTCTCCTCGCCTCCCCGCAGATAGCCATCTACTGTCTCCCCCAGGGCGATGGGTGTTGCGTTGTGTGTTGTGCTGCACATGATAGTGAATTTATCTCCATTTATATCTGCTGCTGCTGCTGCTGCTGCTGCTGCTGCTGTTGTTGCTGCTGCTGCTGCTGCTGAGGAAGCAGAAGGAGGAGCCTCCGGTGTCTCTGCATGCGTCGCGTTGTAACCCTCAGCAACGATCACAAACGCCCCCTCTAAACCCTCAATCGAGGGTTTAGGGTTTAGGGTTAAGTCTATTGAACTCACAGACGGCAATACAGACCCAGCACGCTCAGGCCAAAATATCGCACCTACACACAAAACCCTAAACCCTAAACCCTAAACCCTAAACCCTTGAAACCCGCTAAACCCTAAAACGCAAACCCTAAACCCGCTAAACCCTAGACCCTTCATACCTTTTAAACCCTAACCCCCCAAACCACCAAACAACTGTCTATATGCTTTCCCCTCCCCACCCCATAAACCCTAAACCCTAAACCCTAAACCCTTACCGGGTTCCTCTGGTATGGGTAGTTTGTAGTTGTCCTCTCTAAACCCTCGTAAACCCTCAGGCAAACCCTCAGCTAAACCCTCAGAACCCCAAAAAATTGTATTTGCATACAAACGCACAGAAGTCAGCCCGTAGCGACTCGCGGCGCAACGGATAGATGGAGAAAACCCTAAACCACCAACTGAGATAATAACACACACAATAAACCCTAAACCCTAAACCCTAAACCCTAAACCCTAAACCACCAACTGAGGTAATAACACACACAATACACCCTAAACCCTGAACCCTAAACCACCAACTAAAATAATAAGACGCGCAAGCAATAAACCCTAAACCCTAAACCCTTGATTCTGTATTCTTCCCCCTTCTGTTCCTGCGACCCGTACTGTGCAAACACCCTCCCCTCCCACCCCCTAAACCCTAACCCCTAAACCCTAAACCCTAAACCCTAAACCCTAAACCCTAAACCCTAGTTACCAGTTTTCATATTGAAGTTGAGTGGAAAGATGAAGAATTTTCTGTGGTTTGTTGCATGCGGATCAGCAGAAATATCTGTTGCTATTACAGCCCCATCGGTGAGGTGTTGTGTTTGTTGTTCTAGGGTTTGTAGATTGGGGTGTCTATACACCTGAATACTACCATCGTATATAACCCCAACACTGGCTGTTAGCTGCATAGACACCGCAATATCTTTTGTTGTTGGGTTTATTAATATACGCCAAAGACCAACAGCTTTCTCCGCAGACACCCGAAGATCATCTCTTGCTGCCTCTCCTCCTCCCGCTCCTCCTCCTGCTGCTGCTGCTGCTGCTGCTCCTGCTGCTGCTGCTGCTGCTGCTGCTGGTGGTTCTATTCTTATAAGAACGCTTAGAGGGGAACGGCGACGGGCCTCAAACACCCACGGTTTCTCGCTGCCCGGGGGAAACACAAAAACCTCCATCAGCCGATCGCTTGATACTAAACTTAACTTAAAACCAACTGGCCTGCATTACAAACCCTAAACCCTAAACCCTAAACCCTAAACCCTAAACCCTAGATATTTCTTTAAAATCATAGAAACGTAAAAGCGCGATCAACCGTCAGAGGCTGTGTGTTTCTTTGATTTGGATGGCATTAGGGTTGTTTAGGGTTTAGGGTTATCTAGGGTTTAGGGTTTAGGGTTTAGGGTTTATGTGGACCTTTGTGTGTTGTGTGCTTGTTGTATAACCTCCTGTGTGACGGCGAGAGTACAGAGAAGGTCTCCTGTTTCCTTTGCGTGTGTTGCTAGGGGGGGGGGAGAGAAGATGATGGGGCCCTCTAGTTTAGCTATTTTAAATGCATTATTATCATTCCAATCACCAGGAAAACGAACAAATAAAGAAATGCCGTTTCTCAATGATACTTTTGATATATGCATATCACCCCCGCTGCTTTGGTGTACTAATACAGATAACCTGCACATACACCCCAATATATATATATATATATATATATATATATATATATATATATATATATATAT